AAACTGTGCTAGCTATCAAAATGTCCCTTTGGCTCAATAAAGTGCAGCGTTTTGTCTACGTTTTAAACTTTGAATCATGTTTCTACGTTAAAGTATGGCTAGTCAATATGGGCCCAAAGTTAAGTGTTTTTTTGCTCTCTTCACGCCGGAACCCCATTCAAGTGAATGGGGACATTTTGCTCAGTTTTTGGGGATTTTCGAGAATTTTCGGTAAAACCGCTTGGCAAATCTCTCTGAAAAATAGATAGCACACTATTCCCGATCAGGCCGCACATTTTGATGTATTTTTCACGCCGCTGTTGGCAACGCTGTGTGAGGAGAAGTGCGCCAAACTTCATTTTGCTCCGTTTTTCGGGGTTTTCCGGGATTTTCGGGAAAACCGCTGGGCGAATCTCTCCGAAAAATAGTTTCCGCGCTATTCCCGATCAGGCCGCACATTTTGATGTATTTTTCACGCCGCTGTTGGCAACGCTGTGTGAGGAGAGGCGCGCCAAACTTTTGGATAAAGCTGATGATGAGGATTATTATTATTAAGCCCGATGGATAATATACAGTGTGCTTTGGCACAGGCAGTTTTACTGCCTTGTGCCACAAAGCCACACTGAACTATCATTTCAATTAAGAAGACCTGCGGTCTAAATTCCTTTGGCCATTTTAGCCACTCATTGCCAACTCTAGTGAAACCATAGACTGTATATAAGAAGTGGATGTTGTCATCGTGACGTCACCCATTGGTTTGTGGACTACCGTTTTGAAACCTTGAGTTTGGCGTCTTGGCCGTCGCCATCTTGGATTATGGCCGTCGTCATCTTGCCATTTTTGTAACCAATAAACCGAAGTGACTATATTTGGACGGCAGAGGAGTATACGACTCTGGTTTGGTAGCAACCTGTCAATTACAAGGTAGCCCTGCCTTAAATCATACTCTGCTTTATGGTCTATTTTACTCAAAATGGGACCACAATTTAGGAAATGAACATCATGCTGTACTGAAGACGACTTGAAACTAGTGATTGAGACCATAAAAAACATGCTAACAATATTTACTGAGGTAATAAATCAAGTGAGAAGTAGGGTCATTTTCTCATAGACTTCCATACAATTGGACTTATTTTTGCAACCAGGAGTTGCCCCCTGCTGGTCAGTACAGAGAATGCAAGTCAAAGACACCTCCGCATTGGCTTCACTCTTCAGAACTGGAGGTTTCCGCCTGAGTGAAACTCTTCCTATTTCAGAACAGACTGAAATCCTTGGCCATGCAAAAGAAAAAGCCACCGTCCAGTAGCCCGCGATAGAGTTTGTGTCCTATTAGATTCTGTTTTGTTGTCTTGTTAAATCACACAGTCACAACAGCCTCAGGGCTCTCTTCCTCTGCACTCTCTACTAGTTTATTGGTTTCAACCACTTCAGGCTGGACCGCTCATCGCTGAAGAAGAGTGGGTTTTCAAAGGTGGTTTACTTGTCAGGGATCGGTAAGCGATGAGCAAACTTCATCGTGCTAATATGTTATTGTGGGGCCTCTGGAGATTCCCACCCCAAGTGGGGACTTTTTGGACGGCTACAAAGAGAAGATGATGGGAGGTAAATTGATCTCTCGTGTTATTTTATTTCTTGATGACTTTAACTTTAATTATTCTTTAGTGCCAAGTTTAATGTTCATTTAACAATGACAGGCAGTGAGATTTTTTTTTACACATTTCAAGAGTACAAGCAATGAACAGCATCTAGTGAGCATAAGCATAACATGTAACAATTATATACATTCAATCATAGATATAAAGACAAAATCAAACACCAAGCATTCCCACTGAGACATCCTAGAGCCTAAATTGTTCTGTTCCATGAGGTCAGACATCGCCAACTCCATTAAAACTCACACTTAGTGACGTATTGTTAAATAACTGAATATATATTTACTATATACTATAGTAAAAAAACAAAGCTAAAACATTAATGAAGCATCCAAGTGTAATACATCAGTTTGGGATAGAGTACAGTACAGTGCATGTCCCGCTAGATTCTGCTACTTTATAAATCACAGAGTTATAATCGGCTCAGGGTTTTCTACTTCTGCATTCTCTATCAGTTTATTGGTATCAACCACATCGGGCTGGGATCGTTCACTGTCGAAGTAGAGTGGATTGTCAAAGGTGGGTAAAGAACGAGGAGACTTCTTGTAGAGGAAGAATGCAACAACTATCAGCGTAGAAGTGATAGTGATGATCAGCACAATTATCAAACTCGTGCGGACGCGACTGCGAGGATCCTGACCTCCATGAGGTTCTGCACAATCAAATAGATGTGGATTAGTCAAAACAATTCAAATTAAATTTAGCTTTAAGTATCATTTATATTCCTTTTAATTACATTTCACTACATGTTTTTATTTGTATAATAACCATTAATGTTTCATTACATGTAACACTCACCATTTCAAATATCTTTATTTTTCTTGAATAATTCAAATACTACTCAACTTAAGGAGATACAAAGGTGTAACTTACCAGTTTTTCCTGATCCTGAATCTATGGCCATCACTGTTTAAAGAGAAGAGAAACAGAAGGGAAAAGTGCTCAGATAACTAATCTTTTTTTAAGGAATACATTTTGGTCTAATTTCCCCTGGAGGGACGGCACTGACCCGTCACTCCCCAGTCTACCTTTATTTCAGCACTATATACATAAAGTAACACGTAAAATAACAGAGTCACAAAAGGTGATCTGAGGCTGGATGTTGAGTTTATGGCAGTTGATGGAGGATTACCTTTATTGTTGGAAACAACACCCCGTAATAACAAATGGTACAAAATCATGAAGTTGTAGGATAATAGGAAGTTTTTCTCTCTTTGTTTTATTAGGTTTTTAGGAAAATGGACCTTTCCTCTTACTCCAAAGGCTTTTTGAACAAGCTACATGTATGAGGAGAACTTATATAAAACACCTTATATTCAAACTACATGGGAATGATAATCTTACCTTTTGGTGTTTTACAGATATATGCTCTGTCGTGCCATCTGCGACCTGTCCTCCAAATCCCATTTGAGGTTTCAATCTGTGCATAGTCATTATCAGGCTCATCTTCAGCCCAGTTAATGTAGTCCAGGACTGTTTTATCCAACCACTTCCAGTCCCCTAGGGCCAAACAGAAACTTAATATAATACTATTTTCACTTTTATAGTTTGTTATATAACTGCTTAATATAATTATGTATTTGTAATTTGCCCCACATGTGCTGTAAAGGCCCTGTTGAGGTGCGGACAAAATGTAAACAAAAGGACAAAAAAATAATAGGGTAACATCGAGTAAACACAATTTAAAAAAAGGGAATTTGAGATAAAAGTATTTTCTCAAATAAATAATTTTCCCAATTTAGTTGGTTTGTTTCACTTTCATCAGCAGGAATGTTTAAAATATATTAATAACGTTTGCGAGTGTGTGGTGAAGAGCGAGGGAGAGAGTGTGTGGGTGTGACGACGAGTATGAAATAAGCAGTGACGTCATAGCTGTGAACGTAGCAGTGCAGTGTGTGTACGGTTTAATTTTGGTAAATAAACTCCACAGGTAACCTTTTAAGTACAGTACAGAAAAGAGTGTAATCGTACCTCCATGAGTTTTGTACAGGCCAATCCAGAAAGCGCTGTGGCTATCTTGAAATATCTCCACATTGCTTTTGATGAATTCTTGCTCACTAGGATCTTCAATGCTGGCCAGGGTTCCACCTTCACAACAAACAAAAAACAGTCTGATTGTAACAATTGCTAACCACTTATTACTAGTTTCTGTTTATTACACCAGACACTTGATCTACTCTAGATCTAAAAGTGTCTCTTACCATGCCTGACACAGCTGCTAGCTGCATCTGCCCATTCAATTTCATCGGTTATAAACACGTAGCAGTGACTCTTAAACGGCAGCCAGACATAGCTCTGGCGGTACTCTTCATTCGTCTCTTGAGGGCAAATCCCTGGAAAGATGCTCGACTCTGTCGGTGGCACATCTGTGAGTGACAGAGACAGGGATGAGGGGATCAACTACTTACTAAATATTCAATGCAGTGAACTTAAAACCTCAAACTGTTGTTGTAGTAACTCGCTCTGATCCATATCCTGGATCAATTAATTAACAGTATTGCATCTGAGTGAATTGACATTTTTTCACAAAGTCAGTGCTCATGAATGTTTTTTTATGGAAGAGTGTGGAAATCACAAACTCTCATCAAGGTGGTTATAAAGTTGAAAAAAACAGCACATTTTAATGGAGTGTGCGTGGGCGATGTCCACTTTCTTTTGATAAACTGAAGGATTAAGTATTTATTCATGGCTTGAGAGAAATCATCTCCTACTTTAAAATACTTTAAATTAGATTATCTGAAAACTGCATTTTCACAAAACTGAAAACAGAAAGTGGACAAGTTTGGGAATACGTTTGTTAGACTGTAGACTGTTGTAATATAACTTCTAGCCATCAGTCTAAGCGTTGAATGCAACGCTGCTTAACAGTACTCGGCAAAGAAGAAAAGATCTGCCATCTTTGATTTTAGATCAATTGCATTCACTCACCTGCGATCCATCAAAGTATGTCTTCTTTGTAATAATTGATGTAGTGTTTTGAAAAGCCAATATATCAGCTGATAAGAGCTTATTGCAGATCTATTGGCAACTGATAAATATCAAGGAATTGCTCAATTTTGAGGTAATTTAGAAAATGTGAACCATGACAGTTTGTCCATCAGATGGCACTGACAAATTTAATTTGATAAAAATAAAATGTTACTCTTAGTATTTAGTCACAATCCTTTAAAATAACTGATTCAAGGAATTCACGATTATTGTTTATGTTAAAAGAAATCATTATCAGATTATTTAAGGTCTACAATATCGATAACAGTATCTTCCTCAGAAACCCAGTATCGGTTTGGCATGAACATATGATCTATTACTGCAGTCAGGGATCACAGCTAGGTTAACAAGCTAACATTTGACACATCGTATGCTAAAGACGTAAGCAAAATAAACTATATTACAGCATTTAATCCTTCAGAAGTTGACACTCTTGGGGATTGTATTCATTTACGTTGCCTGCTAACGACCGTACCTGTAGACTGCTTGCAAACGCTGTTCATGGTCCGATTGCAGAAAGCAGTCTTCCACTTTCCATCCACATCCAGGTACACACAAGGTCGGTCTCGGCTTGGTTCACCTAGAGCCCAGCTGGCAGAGGACAAGTGCCAGCCATCAATATACCTAAAATAACCGTTTATCTGAAAGCAAGAATGGATAAAATCAACATTTTAATTCAACATGCATTGTATGTGGCTTTTTAAAATATCTCTCTTTGCCAAATAGATTGAACAAATGTACATTTTTATAAGACACCACAGAGTAGATCGTCAGCTGTCTTGTGAGGCTTCTATGTCGTTTGTCACAGATAAAAGCTAATCATTTGTAGTAAATTAGTCACTAGTAATTGTTGAATGAAGGATTACAACTTTTTTTTTTAAATTCCCTGGAACTAGCCGGTAATTGTTTTTTTTGTGCTCCAGTACAGTACTATCAGTTGGTTGCATCCTGCACCTGTTTGTTCAGTCCAATCCAAAGAGGAGCTTTGAGATTCATAGCCAGCAGCTCGACGTAGGCTTGCGTCCACTCATTTCGTAGGCTAGCCAGGTGGGCGCTATCACCTTCACAGTGTTTCTTGGCATCATCCCAGGTCAGATTTTTAGTCACAAGCTTGATACTGTCATTTCCCAGAGTTGCATAGATGTTAGTAACTGCTGGGTCTAGTCGAGGCTGCCACCTTTTGTCTGTTGAGAGGAGAGATAAATATAATTCATTTTTTATTACATTTTTACAGACAACTTTATTGACACAGGAACTACAGGTTAAAAGGATTGCTTTCCATTTTCCAAAACCATGTTTACTCTACTACATGGAATGCAAACTGAGGTTTGGGCAGTATGGAGCTGTTCTGTAATGTAAGACATTCTATATTGATTGATTCATTATTTTTTGCCTCAGATAACTTCTTAAAGAGAGAATGAACTCACCAAGATCTCGCTGACAGACGAATCCATTGGTGTCATTGCAGGTCTTAATGAACCATTTACCGGTGCCAAAGGAAATACTGCTGGTCAGTACAACACATTCCTCCTGGTGAAGGACATAGGGAGGGGTTACAATTTACACATATTTTCAATGGGACATCAAAACTGCTGACTGGCAGTGTTTGAGTGAGCGAGTGAATGATTTCCTTAACTCTTTGATGTTTGCTAGCAAAGGACTTTAGTCTGCTCTGTCATGACAAAAACTAAAAAGGAGTTATATTTTACTTTAAAATCAGTCTTGGATATGTTACCTCATCCCATCTTTGATAAAAGGATCCTTGACGACGTCGATTTGTCTAAAGAGCGGAACAAGTGAAACAACAATTCAAACATTTTTATGTCCATTAAACAAGACTCGACACTAAGCTAAGATTGTGTGTACTTACAGAATAGCCCCAGTTGGTGTATTTCCTTGCTTTCCCATCAGTCCAGTAAAATCCATCTTGTTTGAAAGCACTTAAACCAATCCACAGGTCTGTATTTGCTGTTTCAGCCATTTTTGTGGTCAAAAATGCTGAAATTTAAAAATGTAGAAATTAAGTAATTTTCATCTTTAGTTTCGCGTAGTTTTGGCAAAATCTCCAACGTAATATTTACAAATGTTTAATATAAAGTAAGTTCATCAATATCCAAAGATATTTTTGCTGTTGTTTTCCAGGTCAAGAATGAACTTTCACACTCTCGATTTACACTGTACACACGATTATGAATGATTGTGATCATTGTTGAAAATATATGTCAAAAGCAGTAGGACAAACCTTGCACACGCCTTGTGGGAATTGAGGCCAACTGGCCTCCCATCTCAATGCACTTTCTCATTGCTTCCTCCCAGATGATCGGCGGGCTACTAATGATAGTGTAACACTACAAATGAGAAATGAAATCGTGATTTTTCACTCTACAACCAAACACTAGGCTTCTTTCATTAAGCTTTGATGCCATCTGATCTGATCTTAAAAAATGTCTGTGTACTTATTTCTCTACCAAACTCTGTATTTATAGTTCCTCCGTTGTTGTAGCCCTAAAACCATTGTCACCTATTTATATTTAAAAGAGGACTAGACTGTATTGCATCAGGAACGTATTGTTGCATAAAAGCTTGTTGATAACAGACATATAGGGCTTTGCAAAGGATTACAAAGCCCAATAACTGATAGATATTGTGTTTTTTTCCCATCATACCATTTATGCATGTAGGGTTTCCAAATGAAACTATGACGAGCCTGTTTCTGCACCACCAATAACACCAATAGTTGCAACAACTGCTTAAATAAGAGCATGTTATATGTGTAAAAAAGGACAAGTCGTGTGGCTTACTGTAATCCTGAAAGCTGATTATTTTACCACTCAGATATAGAAAAACAGTTTTGTAAATCACACCTGGACAAATTCATTCAGTCCCAAATGCTCTTTAATGAGAGCCAATGAGAGTAAATGTTCAAGAACTGACATTTTAGAAGTGGTCGTGAAAGTTTTAAACTGAAAATCGAAACTAACAGCTACCAGTGATTTCTGACCTTTGAGTCAAATTTGGTCCACTTGAGTGGGCAGCCACCTGTAGGAGGAACTGTGGGGGCTGCAGTGGTGTTGACAGGTGCTGACTTTGCTCGTTTACAAATGAACTGGTGGTCTTGGCCACAATTAGAAGTACGCCAGAAGCCTGTAAGTACAGTGGAGATACAATGAATCACATTTCAGCATATTGTGAGTAGCATATTGATCTTATCCAGAACACCTTATCTAGGGTTGATACTTTGTTTAATTTGTCATTTGTCAGTTTGCAATTACTCACCCATGTAGTAAGTCATAGTAACACAGTTCTCATTAAAAGCATTTGGATTTGGTTGATTTTCATCCCATCTTCGTAACCCCACTGAAGAACCATCCATCCACCTTAAAGCACAGTTTGAATTATGACGTATAATCGTGCAAACAATAATTGCTTCACTTTAGACCTTTTCATCCAACGTTTTGCCATTCTGCAGTAATGGTAAATATGCAGAGGACAAATTAAATATAGAGGTGACAATAAATGTAGTTTAAAAAAAACACTAAAAATCAAGAAAACTGCTTATAAAATCAAGCTGAAGTTTTAAATTAGTTTAAATGTCAGTACCAGTAATGCTTACAAATAATAAAATACTGATAAACAATAACTTAAAATAAAACAAAAAGCGGGATAATTTTTACCCTCCATATATACATATATAAAGAGACATACATATA